CTAACACTGACTAGTTGGCCAGATGTCTCACTGTAGTGGTCCAAAAGACTCATGATATCTACTAGCCCATTATCATTCGCACGAGTGAAAATGATAATGTCATCCACATAAAAGAGGTGGGAAATGGGAGGCCCACAGCCATACTGTAAGTCATCCTCAGGAAGTCGCGAATGAAATCGTCAAGGCAGCGAGAGAGATAGTCAACTACCAGAACAAAAAGGAAGGGGGATAAGGGGTCCCCCTGACGAAGGCCACGGGTAAAAGGGAAAAAGGTCGTGGGGCTACCATTAATCAAAACGGAGAACGTGCAGTGCTCCACGCACGCCTCCATAAAGCTAATCCATCGGTTAAGGAGTCCCATTCGAAACAGTACCTCTCTGAGAAACAACCACTCGACCCTATCATATGCTTTGGCCATGTCTAGATTCAGCACGAGATTCGGGGTTCGTGTTCGATTCGCATGAGAGATATCGTGTATCATATCCTGAGCCAAAAGGATATTATCGCTAATGACTCGATCCTTGATGAATCCACTCTGGTTCGAAGAGAAAAGGTTGGGGAAGAGAGGAGCTAGGCGCCCGTTGAGGATTCTAGATATGATCTTGTTAGTCACGTTGCATAAGCTGATAGGTCTATAGTCGGACCATGAGCTAGGTCCCGATCTCTTCGGGATCAAAATGATGGAGGTTGCTGTGAAGGACTCTGGCATCTGGTGGATAGAGAATAAATCCCTTACAGCTTCTTCTACATCAGTTCCCACAATCTCCCAGCAAGACTGGAAGAAGAGGGATGAAAAACCATCCGGTCCGGAATCACTATTGAGATCAATCCCAAGCACAGCCTCCCTGACTTTCTCCTTACTCGGGAGGTCACAGAGGTTGACAAGGTCGACCAACTGCGGGATGGTCGGAAAGAGAGTCGGGTCGGGGTGCATAAGCAAGTCCCGCTCAGAGGAAAAGATAGAGTGAAAGTAAGCCCTAGCCGACTCCCGGATCTGGGACTCCTGGGTCACGGATTATCCTCGATGCTATAGATGTGCGACTTGACTCGCTTCTGCTTCACGAATCTATGGAAGAACTTGGTATTACGCTCCCCCTCAGCCACCCAGCACACAGCAGCCTTCTGCTTCCAGAAATCTTCCTCCATGAGGAGGCGCAATTGGTACTCAGCATGGTAGCGGCGCATCTCAGACCTATTCTCTGGCGAAGAATCCAGATCATAGGTCTGTTCAGCCTCCGCATACGCAGTCTGAGCTGCAATAAGGCGCTGAGAAATGTCACCAAAAGTCGTTCAGTTCCACTGCTTCAAAACGCGGTGGAGTCTCCTGAGCTTCTTCTCCAGGTTGTGCATACCATATAGGTGCGTAGCCTGCTGCCAGGACGCTCTAACAATATCGTAGTAAGAATGGTGGCAGAACCACATGTTCTGGAAATGAAAGGACGCGTGCCGAGGGGAAATTAGAGAACCGACATCGAATCAGAAGGGAGGCATGGTCGGATCCAATTCGAGGAAGGTGCATTACAACTGTCGTTGCAAACACCCTCGTCCACGCCTCTGAGTATAGAGCGCGGTCGAGCCTCTCCTTGACTCCAGCCCTCTCCTAGTAAAGGGGGCTCCTTTGTATCCAGCGTCGATTAGCTCACAATCCGATACAGCGTGCGAGAAGTCTAAGATCTCTGCCGAACGGTCCGATACACAACCAATGCATTCATCAGGATGCAAGAATATGTTGAAATCACTGCTAACCATCCACGGTAACCCCTCCATACTCTCATCAATCTCACGCATGGTATCCCAGAGGTCATAGCGACCAATCCTCGTACAGCTGTCGTAAACCAAAGTGTGGAAGGTTGGCTCTGGAAGGTGGGCGGCGGTGAGCTTCACGTGCAAGACCTGATCAGTGTCCCGAAGGACCTGACAAGCAAAGTGACGTGAGTGAAAAAATCAAATCTTGTTAGAAGTATTGCCCATCCCGGCATGGAAGCCAAGGCGGCGCGAATATATGTCAAAAGATGGGTCACGTGTCATAGGTTCTAAAAAAGCAACAAAGTCAAGATTATGCTCACGAATGAGAGATCTAACATGAGCAAGGGTGGTCCTATTAGCCAGATCATGGGCATTCCATATAAGCGATGTGGCTGACATGTC